CCTACGTGTAGGAGCCAGAGAGGGGACATGCCACTGGTTCCGGGAGCCACACCCTGCCCCCTGGATTAAAATATCTGAAGGGCCGCATGCGGCCTCCGGACCGAAGTTTGCCCACCCCAATCTAGTCTGACCCCCTGCACATTGCAGGCCACAGAACCTCACCCACCCACTCCTGAAATAGACCCCTAACCTCTTGAAGTCCTCAAATCATGGTTTAAAGACTTAAGGTCACAGAGAATCCACCATTTACAGACATATTCCTGGGAACTTTGTTTCACCCCAGTCAGAACAGAAGACAAGAGCTATGGGTCTCTGGCTTGTTACTTCCAAAACAACATGTTCTACTGCTAAATGACCAGCCCACACAGCTGAAAGCTTGTCTGCCACATCACTGCTGGTGGAGTCAATGCTTCACCTTGGCCTGAAGCACCAACCAGATAGAAACAGCCGGCTTGGAGAGTGCGAAGCCAGCTCCTGCTGCCGAGTTTCACTCCTTGCTGCCTGATACCCTGCTGTAAAGTGGGGTAGGTGGCACACTACTGTGTGGCTGGGCATGTGTAGGAGCTCTTTGATCTTAGTTGGGCCTGCTGCCCTGCCATGTTTTCTCTTTAAATACAAGTTTCCTGTTCTCAAAAATCCTCTTCCTGCCAAGGGTGGCACCAAGCAGAGGGAGAAAAAAACAAAATGTAGTGGGGAAAGCTCCTGCCTGCAGACAGAAAGTGGAGAGGCTTAGAGAACCACAGTGCCTGCTTCTAGCGGAGAAGAGCCAACCACGAAACAACGGCTGGAAGCTGAAGCTGAAGCTGGACAAATTCAAATTAGACAATAGGCCGACGTTCCCAACAGTGAGGGGACAGACCATGGGAAAAAATGACCCAGGGAAGTGGGGGAGTTACATCACCTCTCTGGAAGATGCTTTAGTCAAACACAAGTTACTGGACTCATGCCAGATGTGAGGTCAGCCCCAAGTGGCAGCTCGTCCGGCCTCTGGGGTAACTTGGCAACCTGTGCTATACAGGAGGTCAGACTCAGTGATCCCTTCTGGCCTTAGATGATGTGAAATCACAATAGCACCCAGCAGCCCCAGCTGAGATCAGGGCTCCATTCTGCTGCACTAATGCATTGCGAGAACCAGCCCCTGCCCCAGTGAAACAAAATAGGCAAAAGCTGGGAGAAAGCACTGGAATGGGTTACCTAGAGAGGTGGTGGAATCTCCTTCCTTAGAGGTTTTTAAGGTCAGGCTTGACAAAGCCCTGGCTGGGATGATTTAGTTGGGAATTGGTCCTGCTTGAACAGGGGGTTGGACTAGATGACCTCCTGAAGTCCCTTCCAACTCTGATATTCTATGATTCTATGAAATGAAGGATTCTTATCCCCATTTTACAGATG